CCCCCCCCCCCCCCCCGCCACTAATAGTCACCGTTAGACGTGACAAAATTTGAACTGATTCATTTTTAATCTGACTTTGAGCACCGATTTTGCGACCAAATTCAAAATGACCCGAACCCAAAGACCAGTTAAATTTTCAAGCCGATTCGGGTCGGGTTTGAATTGACGGGTTATGTGCTTATTAATTGTTTATTTTTATTGGTTATTTAATTTTATTGAATTTTTAGGAAATTAAGGGAGAGATATTTTGGTGTTGACTTTGCAAAAATACCATTGATGTGATAGGTAAAAGTAAGATGTGATGCGTAGATTATTACTAAAAAGATATGATGTAATAGGTAGGGTATGAAAAAGTAAGGGGTAAAAGTAGTTTTTTAATAGATAAGGGAAGGAGTTAGTGAAACAAGAAAAAAAGAAAGGTAAAGGAGTTTAAGGGACGGAGGAAGTATTTCATACTCCGTAGTAAAGTATATGATTTTGAAAAATCATTACATTAGCGAGTTGGTCGAGTCCATGTTTGATCAAGGTTGACTCATTTTTAGCAGGTCATTTCGGTTCGGGTCAATAGAACCTATGTTCAAAAACCCAATATTTTCAAATCAAGTTTCGAATAAAAAATAAGTCAAGTCATTTTTTGAATATCATCCATAGCTAGCCATGTGAGTAGTTGAAACTTGAAAGTACATTAATATTCCAAAGTTTTAAGATTGAAAGACTGGCATTCAATCAACTCTAGCCATTGGTAGCTAGCCATTAAAGACTGGCATTTAACTCTATACCAGCTCAAGTCCAGCGTTTAGATGCTGAACACGTACCTATCGCACTTGCCTGGGCCTCCAATATCCTTAATTACCCAACTCTTTGTCTTTGAGGCATGCTCGTAGGTGCTTCATGGGCTTGGGTAAAAAGTTGGTCTTTAAGAAAAAATTATGGTGGTATATGAAAATGTTTATTAGTCTAATAAGTTTTTTCTTTTGTAATAAAGATTTCCTTCAATCTTAAATTTAATGTTTCAATTTGACTTCATGGAGTTTAAAAAAGTGTAAAAAAATAAACAGTGAATGGATAAAACAATTTTTAAAAAAGAAGTTATATCACATATTTTTTACATTGTTAGAATAGTAAAAAAGTGAGACAAATTTTTTTAAATTTATTATAACTGATTAAAAAAGAAAGTGAGACATTTAGTTAAAGACCAAGAAGGTATACATTTAATTATAAAATTTTGTAACATTATTTAATACGGAGTAAAATAAATTTAGAATAAGCTTAAAAAGGTCTGGTCATCTGAAATAGGATGATAATTTTGAGAAGTAAAGAGTAAATTTTACTTAAAACATTCAAATGTAAAAATAAATATTGCAAGAATTATTCTACAGAAAAATGCGGGTAACATTAACGGTACGTTACAGATTCAGATTAAATTAACGTCCCATTTGGTCAGTAATTACCGAAAAAACATTATCAGACTGGAACCGACTGCTACTCGCCGTGGACGTAACAGTACGGCTGCCGGTAAACATCGCCGCAACTTCTTCCGACGTCGAGAGGAACCCGCCGTCGTCATCCGCCGTCGTACCCACCGTGATTGACGACTCTCCCTTTTCGAGCAGGGGATAAGACGGGCTGTTCGGCAGGGATACGCCGTCGACGGCGGCGCCACCACACCCCATGCACTTCTCCGCCGCTTCCTGGAGCTGCAATGCAAACTCCAGGCTCCAAACGACGTCGCTCATCGCCGGGCGTTCGATCCCCTGATCCTTCAGGCAGTTGCACGCGATCTCCGCGAAGGTGTTCAAACACTCCGCCGCGATCTCCCCCGTCAGCCTGGGGTCCACCATCTCCTCCACCGATCCTCTCCGGTAGCACTGCCGGGCCCACTCCGCCAAACTCACTCTTTCCTTTATCGGCGACGCCACGACCGCCGGCCGTGCGCAGAGGACCTCAAACAAGACAACCCCGAAGGAATAAACGTCCGATTTCTCCGTCACTTGTTGCCGTCTATAGTACTCCGGATCAACATACCCTATGCTCCCCTTGACCGCAGTGCTGACGTGGGTGTCGGCCCCGCCGAGCGGGCCCACCTTCGACAGCCCGAAATCCGAGACCTTGGCCACCCATCTATCGTCGAGCAAGATATTCGTAGACTTCACGTCCCGGTGAATGATGCTGTATTTGGCGCCGGTGTGAAGATAATGCAACCCCTTCGCGGCGCCAATACAAATCTCCAGCCGCCTCTTCCAGGGAAGAGGCGGATTTGGGGATTTGTAGATATGGTCGCGGAGCGTTCCCCGCGACATGTAGTCGTAGACGATGATCATCTCCCCACCGTCGTTGCAGTACCCGATGAGGGGGACTAGGTGGACGTGTCTCAGTTTCGAGAGCATTTCGATCTCGGTCCTGAACTCCCGGACTCCTTGACTCGATTCTGGGTTCAGACGCTTTATAGCGACGGGGGTTGCCCCGTTGTCTATGAGTCCCCGGTACACCTTTCCGAACCCTCCTCTCCCAATGACGAGGCTCTCGTCCAAGTTGTCTGTGGCGGACTTGAGATCCTCTAGGGAGAAGTGGCGACAGAGGTCGCTCGGTAAGGAGGAGGTGGCGGAGAAACCGGAGGTTTGTGTGGATGCTGACATGGGCGACAATGGCGCCCATGACGTCTTGGTGGCATGGCTCGCCATGTCGGATGGCGAGTCTCTCACTCTCCTCCTCCGGTGCTGGAAAATCAAGAATCCCAATAACACTAGCAACATTATTGCCGCAACCCCACCGCTTACACTCCAGGCTTTTGTCTTGACTTTCTTGTTAGATCCTGCAGCCTGGGGCGGCGGCGGTTGGTTTACTGGGCCCACGACGGGAGGCTTGGGATTGGGCACCGCAAAGCTTCCCGTTGTGTCATTCAGCTTGAAAATCTCCAACCCATTTAGAATTGCATTCGCCCACACCGATTGGGATTCCATGTTGGGCCTTATCGCGAACCAAACGTCACGTTTTCCCCGTCGTAGACCGTCCGTCTCCGGCACCTGAACGGCGTAGTCCTTGAAGATCGGGATTCTCGAGCCCCCGGCCATCATAAAAACATCCATATGCGCCTCTGCGGTGGTGTTCTCAATGTCCACCGCGAAAACCCGCTGATTCGCCATAGTTATTTCCTGCATAAACTCACACAAATAGAGCCGGAAGAGGTAAGTAAACCCGGAGTCAACTGGAAAGGTCCAATTGACAGCGTTACTGTGATTCGAGATCGTTCTTGACGTGGTATAAACACTCCCCGGAGCAGAGTACGCCGGCGCCGACGGGGTGTAGCTGATGTTGACATCCAACGACGGTGTTTGGTACCCATAACCGACCACGTAATCGTCGTCGCTATACCACGTCCTGAACATTCCGGAGTCCTCGTTGGGAGAGACCGTTTTGCCCCCGACATTGAATCTGTACAGAGTTTCCAGGGCAGTGTTGTCGGAGATGTAGTACGGAGTTCCGGATGACCCGACCCATGTAATCGGGTTTTCCCCGGTATCATCTTCTCCCCGTATGTAAAATCCGGCCGGAATCGACACGATTTCGATCCCATTGACAAATGCATAAGATTTCGGAGAAGGAGTGAATGTGATGTCGAGCTTTTTCAGCCTTTCGTCGACGTTGACCAGAAATTCTTTGAACACGACCGGCGGGTCAACGCCGGAGACTGTGAGATAGGCGCTGAAGTTACTCAAGAGGGTGTAGGAACCGGCCGTGACGGAGAAGAAAGACTCTGTTTTGACGAACCGGCTGCCGCCGTCGATGTACTGGGCCGGGTAAAAGTGGAGGCGGAGGAATTTGGGGCCGGCGGAGACGGGGAAGGAATAGGTGAACTGGGAAGTGAAGAATCGAACGCCGGTGGTGTAGGGTACCTGCGGAACGGAAGGGCCCTGCTCTGCGGCGGCGGTGGAAGTTAACGATATGTCGGCGGCGTTTGGGGGGAGGAATTGTTTGTGGGCAGTGTCCGTTTCCCAGAGACGATCTCCGAACCGTTGGTTTATGGAGGCGCCGCAGTTCAAAAGGAAGTGATCGGCGGCGAAGACGGGAGCGGATAAGAGTAAAGAGAGTAATAACGCCAACATGGCTATTGCTCATCCGGAGACAATGGGCAAATGTGGAGGTCATTTGTCATATGGTGTACTCGGAACCCACTAGTCCCTATTTGGCAAAAGAATGGAAAAAGAATAAACTAATGTAAAGAAATTATAAAAAAATATAAAATGACAGTAAATCATAGAAAATGTATAAAAATAGGAGTTTCATGTTTTTATTTCTAAAATAGGAATTAAAATGTATTTACAGTGATAATCATGACCATATATTTACCAAAAAGTATTATAAAATGTCAATATAGAGTATCACATTTTTATAATGCAAATTCTTATTTTAAGAATAAAAATATGAAACTCATATTTTAATAATTTATTACTATCTCCATCGCAAAAAAAAAATCACACTTTCACTTTTTCATTAATCTTAAAAAATACTTTCCCCACTGAGTACTTTCTCCGTCCCACATAAATCTTATCATTAACCCTTTTTATGAGTACTTCTTTAGTGCAAATTGGATGCATACCATTTTGTGCACCTTCTCACACAAAATATTTTTTTATTTTTTAAATTTTTAATCAAAATAAATGCTTACCAAGCTAGTTAGGATTTGCTTATTTGCATTATATGTAGGTCTATTACCTTTGTTAACATTTAAAATATAACAACTACTCACACTTACTTTATTTATTACACCACAAACACATCATTTAGTCCATGTTCTCTTCACCTGATCTGATTGGTTTTGATCTGATTGGAATAAGTTCTGATCTGATGTGATCTGGTCTAATATGATCTGACTGTAGTTATATTTAAAGCTATTTCTAATTTGATTAGAATCTAATAATAATAAATACTAAGTAAAAGAATAAGGAAATATATGCACTAAATAGCACTTAAGTTGAAGAGAACATGACCTTAATACACTATACTCATTTTCATTAACAGTATTTTGGTAAACTTTGATCTTTTTTAAGTTTTCTTAATATTTACAGAATGTCAAAATAAAAAAATCATAATGGGACTGAGGGAGTATTAGAGAAAAAAAACTAAAGTTAGAATAAAATATACATAGTAGAAACTATATCAAAAAAATAGTTTTATATTTCTATTTTCAAAGTATGAATGTTTGACCAACAATATATATTAAAATGTGTTTGTAAAAAATCATTACAAATGATATATCGATATAAATATTACAATGCATAAAAGAAAATTTTAAGAAGAACAAATGAATATCTTGATCACAACCCAAATGTAAAATTGACTGGAGTACTGTATGTACTTCTGATTCAATCTCATCTTGATGAATTTAAGTCTAATTAATGGATTTGGAAAAGGATTGACGTTTATATTGCATTGATGATGATTGATGGGGAAATTACGGAGTACGTTCTATCATGATGACCATAAAGGGGGGACTCTTAATTTGGGTTTGAAATATGCGAAACCTAATTTGACTATTTCTAAAAATTTGTCTTATAGCACTAGCACTTTGTGTGATTTAAGAAATAGACATTAATATTTTCTATGTTTTCATGATTTATTTATAGAACCTTTGTGGTTTCAAAAACTGATGAATTATAAAGTTAAATATATTGTTTTCAAACACTTACAATTTGATATCCTCTCGTTCATGTTGGATGTGGAGGTCTATTTATACAATACAACATTATATAAGTTATGGGTCGGAGTCCTATTAATAACCATGCTTACATTACATGGATTCATTAATTACATTATTTGTCTTATGTTGTGATACGTCCATTTCTTATTAGACTCAGTGTTTGTTCCCATGGCAAGGGTCGGTCCATTGTTCCCAAGGAGTTGACCACGGGGTGGGGCTTCACTTATTGCTTGCTTATGGGCCTCACATGGTCTTTCAAAGTCTATAGAATATAGGTCCTGGTTTTAATCCCATTATATCTATAAATAATGCTACATATACATTTCCTTATTTTCCCACCATTTTTCAACAAAGAGGAGGCCAGACATTGGTGTTCATTTTCCAAATCATAGGAAAATGATATGATTGTCACATCATATAGTACTATAGACCTATAATTGCTTCAATCAATATAAAATACATAATTGTATTTTTTAAAAAATACTCCGGTACATATATGTAAAATATATAGTCATATATATAATTATACTCTGTACTTATACATAAAGAATGTGTGCGATATTTAGCATATAGCTACCACATACCCTATGGTCCACCAATATCACTATAACTCGTGAAAATAGAAAATCACATGCTCAAATCTCAATAGTCACCGTATTACTAGTGTTAAAAAAGAACATATAGTCATCTAGATAATGAAAATAAAAATCTAATAATTCTATCTCATCATCTAATTAAATTTATTACCTCTACCCCAGTATACTTGTGCATTTTGATTTATTCGCGTTAAACTAGACAAAATTTTTACTTCAATTAAATAAAAAATATAATGTGTATTAGTATAAAAATAATTTTATTAAAAATAAAATTATACAGTATGTATTTTTGCCAATTTTTATTACTCGTCCGATAAAATAATATAATAGTCATGTTACCTCTTATTTAAGAATAAAAATCTTACTCCATATTATTTAATTCCACACCAAATTCCATATATTTTATGTTAAAAGTAACTTAAGTCAAACATCGTAAACCACGAGCAATCTAACTCAGCATGTGAAGAGTATATCTTCAAACAACGGATAAAAATAATATGACGATATGATTTTATACTATCACAGTATTAAAGTGTCATTTGATAAAATCCTAGGGGTTTGAATTCATTCACTTTGATCTATTTTTTTCGGGTAATTTTGAGTTCGACCATAAATTACACATTCAAGCCTCACATTGACAATTGACAGCACAGTGAAACATTTGGCATTCAAGAATAAAGACAGGAGCAAAAGACTTTGTGATAAATGTCTTCTGGCAGTCAAGTCCAATCGTCCAAACATGTTAACAAAAGTAAAAATAAATATATTTTTTTAATAAAAAAAATGGTTCCCTTTGTTCATATGCATGGGATTGGTGTGTGAGGAGCTAAGTCAGGGATTAAGATTTACAGTGTAGGAGGGGGGAACAAAAGGATCCATCACTACCAACTGTACAGAAGATACGATGATCATCCCGGAGGGGCAGGGAAACAAAGTACCACATTGAGGAGATGGAAGAAGAAATGGTGGAATCAGGCAAGGTAATTGTATACCTGAGGATTGCTCTTGTCGCGCTCCAGGTACTCTCGATCTATAAGGCTCTCGATCCTTTTCTTCAAGTCTGTTGGTTTTATTGGAAATTTTAGCTGCCACCAAATATAAAAAAAACGTGTTCAGTTCCTCTGTACAGAGACCGATTCGTTCGTTCTGAAGAATTCAAAAGAGATGTAATGCTACAACTACAAGAAAACCAGTAGAATCTCACAAAATGTAGGATCATAGGAGGGTGAGTGTTTGCAGACATTACCTCTACTTGGAATTGAGAGGTTGTTTCCAAGATACCTCAGCTCAAATACATGAGTATGGGCAAACAAACCCCAATAGCACTAACAGAGTACGAGTAAAAAGAGAAGAAGCAAACTATGGCAATGTAAATAAGCACATTTATGTATTAGAGTGTTCGTGAGGGCAGTGTTAATACAGCATTTCAGTTAGACGACGTAATAATGTACCATAAGCCAATAAAGGCTAACCACTGAACTGACAATAGAAGGCGTGCACACTCCAACAGAAAAGAGCGAAAAAGATACTCCTGAAATGACAAATGGTAAAAAAACGGATGTATGACGGGTTCTGTATCTCAGACCCGCCCAGCCCAATGACTTTGTTAATTTGGGATTGCCGTGGGCTTGGGAGCCCAGTATTGTTTCCTTGCAGGACACCAATTGTGTGAAAGCATCAATTGAGAAGCTTGGTGAAAAGCTACGCTAAGAAGGTGTTTGGAGTGGATTCTGATGGCTTGAGTGGGGGTGTTGCTTTGATGTGAAAGGATGAAGGAAGAGAGTATGTGTTCAGTAGGCTATGCAGAAAATTATGTTGATGTTGAAGTTCAACTCACAGGAGAGCAACGATACCGTTTAACTGGTTTTTATGGGTAGGCAACTAACTCTGCAGAAAAAAGAAATCTTGGGAGCTAATGAAATCACTAAAATATGTCTCATCTCTTCCTTGGTGTATAGCAGGGTATTCTAATGGCATTTTGTCATATGGATATAAATTGGGAAGAACCAAGCAACCAACTTGGCACATTACTGGTTTCGGAGAGGTAATTGAGTATCGTTCTCTTTGAGATTTAGGGCTTGATGGGAATAAGTTTACTTGGAAAAGGGGAAGGAGAAGGGGAACAGTGGATTGGGTTTGGGAGACACTGGGTAGAATGCTTTCCACAAAAACATGGCAGCATTTATTTGGTCTTTCATACTGAAAATGCTACAAGTGATCACAAATCGCTCTTTCTCAATTTGGGAATACGTGTGGCACAGTATGTTCCAGTAGATTTCCACTTTGAAAATTCCTGGCTTGGAGAAGGGGATGTTCAAATGGCTTTAATTGAGAGGTGGGACTGTGGGAGAGAGGCAAGGGACATGCCCGATTGATAAGAAAGGGACTTTTACAACAAAACTGAAGCAATGCATAAAACAGATGAAAAATATGAAACAAGATAAACATAGTAGAAATCGCAACACATACAGCTTTATATAAGTGCCAAGGAAACTTATACGGTCATCCTGAAGCATCATCACGAAGAAAAAAGAATGTGGTGCATCAGTTGAAGAATGAAAGTGGACAGTGGGTGGGATGAGAGAACGGATTGCTGGAACTAATAAGTAATTACTACATACTACATGGTTCATCGTTGGGTAGATGACCAACAGAATGTGGCCATGATCTCAGATTTTACAAAGGAAGAGGTACAACAGGAAGTGTTTGATATGCACCCAAAAAAATCATCTGGACCGGATGGTTTAAACCCAGGATTCTATAGAAGCTTTTGGCTGGTTGTTGATGAGGATCTAAGCTGCACGGAGCCTGGGAGATACTAATATGGGGACGGGGACACGGACAGGGTTGAGCACGGGGAAACACTACGTCTTCTAAATTTTACAATGAATTTCGCAGTTGGGACGTTCCCAAGTTTCCAAACGGGTACATTTTTTTGGGAATGGGA